ATGAATGGGATTTGAAGCGTGATGGGATGAGACTTGATAGAAGAGAAGGGCGGTGTTGTAACCTTCAGTGGGTGGTCCAGTTTAGCAACTTCTTGGAGAATGATCTCTTGGGTTGCAGTATGTGAAGATAGGTGGCTGAAGCTTAGAGGTGGGACCACAGTAACCATGCCTTTATGCGGGCTTTGGTGGTGTAGTGCCTAAGGCATTTGACTGCTAACCAGAAGGTTGATGGTTCAAACCCACCAGCCACTTCTTGGAAGGAAGACTGTGTGTCTACTTCCACAGAGATAGTGCCTCAGAAACCCAAAGAGGGGTTGCTATGAGTTGGAATCGACTTGATGACAGTGAGTTTGGGTTGTCATCAAGAATCCATACCTGCTTGGTGTTCAGAAAGTATAAGGCACTCCTTCTTAAACTTTTCTCCCTGTATTAGTTTCCTAGGGCTGTTGCAACAAATATTAACTACTAGATGCCTTATAAGGAGCTCAGGTAGCATAGTGCCTAAGGCACTTGGCTGCTAACCAGAAGGCTGGTGGTTCAAACCCATCAGCCACTCCTCAGAAGGTAGGTTGGGCAGTCTACTTCCGTAGTGATACCACCTCGGAAACCCAAGGAGGGGTCACTGAGTTGGGTCCGACTCGATGGCACATAACAACAATAACAACAGATGGCTTATAAGAAGAGAAGTTTTACTGTCTCAGTTTTGGAGTCTAGCCAACCAAATCAATGGGTTGACTGGGCCATGCTTCCTTTGAAGCCTGTATGGGAAGATACTTCTTGTCTTTTCCAGCTTCTGGTAGCACCAGGTGTTCCTTGACTTGTAGATGCATCTTCATGTGGCCATCCTTCTTCCGTGTGTGTCTCTCTCTCTTCTCTTTTATAAGACAGCTCTCAGATTGGATTAGGACTCAGCCTACCCCAGAATGAGCTCATGTTAATATAACTGGTAACATCTTCAGAGACTGTTTTCAGACTAGATTACTTTCGTAGATACCAGGAGCTAGGACTTCACATCTCTTTTAGGGACACAATTCAATTTATAACACTCCAGAAGGAACCCTGGAGGGAGAGAAGGGTGAAGGGGTTACCCCTAGGAAGAAGTGTGGAAATGTTACCTGAAGAAGCCTCCTGCCAGCAAGAAGTTTCTTTGCTAATTTTGACATTTATTCAGTGTTGATTTTTTTAACTCCCCAATTTATTAAAACTTCAGGAAGGTGTGCTAGATTTTGCTGTGACTTTATGTACTCTTGGCACATCTTTGAGGTGCCACTCAGCTTTTCTCTCACTCAGATTGAGAAAGACCTTAGTTAGGCACACTGCTTGGAGTGGTGTTAGGCCTTTTCAGCAGTCTCAACAAGGGTGTTTAGGGAGTTGCCTTTGTTGTTTTTGTCATTTTACATGCCACTTCCTTCTTAGTTTATGGGAAATAAGCAACACAGGAGTGGCAGCCAGGTGTGAGCAATACAAGAAAACCTTCAATATAAGAGGATTTATTGCAGCTTTAAATGCTGCTTTATCCTTTTAGTTCATTTCCATTCAGCTCAAGTACTTATTGAACTCTAGCTGTGTCCCAAGGACCTCTGGTGGTGTAGTGGTTAAGCATTTCGCTGCTAACCAAAAGGTCACTGAACCCACCAGCTGCTCTGTGGAAGAAAGGTGAGACAGTTTGCTTGTGTAAAGATTTATGGTGTTGGAAAGCCAATGGGGTAGTTATGAGTTGGAATTGACTTGATAGCAGTGAGTCTGGAGCTGTATCTCAGGAACTACTGGGCATGAGGTATGTGAATATGACCAAGACACCATGCCTGCCCTCTGGTAACCTCTAGTCTGTTGGGGGCTAACAGTGCTAAGGGTGGTATAGTCACAGGGGATTAGAGTCCAGTGTAGAGCTGAGTAGCCAAAAAGAAACCAGTTGCCATTGAGTTTATTCTGACTCATAGTGACCACATGTGTGTCAGAGTAGACCTGTACTCCATAGAGTTTTAGTGGCTGATTTATCAGAAGCAATTCACCAGGCCTTTCTTTTAAGGTGTATCCAGGTGGACTTGAACCTCTAACCTTTTGGTTAGCAGCTGAGTGCTTAACTCTTTGCATCACCCAATGACTCTTGGAGAACTCACTTAGACCAGTATTTTTCAGATACAAGGTCTCAAGCCATTAGTGCTTTCTGAAAAATGTTGTATGATGTTCTCCTGGAAGAGACTGGTCACAGGTATGCAAGTGTCATCTCAGACATGTCTGGAAGACTCACTTAAGCTGAGCAGGGGCTAGCCAGGTCAGAGTAGTCTGGGAAATTCTTGGAGGAGGTGAAGAGATAGAGGCAAGCAGTTTGGTTCCTCTTCTCTTGGGTGAATCAGAGTTGCAAAGGTGGATCAGGGCAGGGGGAATGGAGTTTGCTTCGAATCCTGAGTTTAACTTGAGTACCTCTGCACTTTATGTTCTAAACTTTGGGAGGTATGGAAACTCCTGTTTCAAACCATCCTGCCTTCAGAGAGGTTCTTGGAGTCCCTGAGTTCTGAGGAGAAAGCTGGATAGAAAGAGTTCCTGTGCTCTGAGCCTTGGAGCATCTGACAGGCCACCATTTAATTGCAGTGAGAAACTACTGAGCAATGGGTGTCCCATGGAAAGGACTTTCCAACTAGTCCCTTTATAACACATACCTGTTAAAGACGAAGTGTGACCAGAGAGCTAAAATGAAGCAAATTTGCTTAATTGAATAATTTCATTTCTCAAAGTTATTAGGGCATATCTCATGGGCTCCAAACACCATTACTTCACAGATTTGTCATGATCATGACTGATATTTGTTTGGTAGAACTCTGTGTAATGTGCAGAGCAGCCCCAGTTGATGCTCATAACAGCCTTGTGCAGCGTTGTCTCCAGGTGTTCTCTCCATTTGCAGCTAAATGCCTTAACAACTGTGCAACTAGAGCTCCTTCTACCCTGAAAGCCCTCTTTTTAAAATTCGCTGGAATTTCCTTAGCTGGAAAGCCCCCTGTGTTAGAATGTGCTGTTGACCTTGCACTGGCCACTGAATCTCTGTCTTGGTATCAGTCCAGACTCTAACACAGTGGTTAAGGCATTTAGCTACTAACCAAAAGGTCAGTGGTTCAAACCTACCAGTGCTCCATGGGAGAAAGATGTGATAGTCTGCTTCCATAAGGATTTACAACCTTGGAAACCCTATGGGGCAACTCTATTCTGTCCTATATGGTCACTCTGAGTCAGAATCAATTCAATGGCAGTGGGTTTTTTTCAGGGTAGGGTATCATTTTCTGTGAAATTCACAGTGCTAAGTACCTGAGCATTAACTGTAGGAATAACATAATCTTAAATTATCTCTACAAATGACATATAAAAATCATGAAAGAAAGAAAATACTAACTTCATAGAGGACCACCCTAAAGAAAAACCCTATTCAAACATTTAGAGATTTTTTTAAACTAAAAAATAAGAACTATAGCTATTAATTACAAATAACTTAAATGATAATTGTATTGAAATAGTCTGAAGGTAAACACTATTGTACAACCAACGGTGTGCAATAGATGGTGTGTAACAGTGTACAAAAAATAGCCCAACATACTTTTAAAGCTAACAGTCTTTTGCTATTTTTGGAAGGAAATCTAGACCTAGAGAGATTAAGTGACTGGCAAAAGTCACGGAGGTGCTGAATCTGTAGAAATGGAGGGAATGGCAGAGATCATGGGAACCCTAAGGTCCTCAGTGCCATTGCTGGGACTAGAATCCAATTTCCTGACTCCTGGATCTTGGTTCTGTAGAGGTTCCAAGCTACTAGGGTTAACAAAATCTGAAACTCAGTTTCTGTTATTGCGTTTCTAATGATTCATAGGTATTTGTTTATTTGACAGATCTTTGTTCAACACTTCCTGTGTGCCTAATATAGTGCTTGGAATAAAGCAATAAAGTAGGGGGAAACGTGAACTCTGCTTTCACAGGTTATTGTCTGGCCTGGGAAATCTTACCTTGGCAAAGTCACTAGAATGGTGTTTACCTTTGGGCTATCTCTGAACGTTAATGATTGTAATTTACATTATTTGTAATGGATAATGACACGTTTGATTTTTTAGTAAATAATCCTAAAATGTTAGAACAGGACTTTTTTGTTCTTTTGTTAATTTTTTTCCCTTTCATAGTTCATCATACTCATCAACATTATTCCTTACATACTTGTTGTCATTCTAGAGTACAACAGCTTCTCCCCCATTTGTATAGCAGTGAGAATTCATGGATTCTTTTTTTATTTAGTGGTTCCGATTCATTACTGTGATACTCAGATTATCCCAGATTTGTTTAGTGGCAGCTCTTTTGAGTACACTTCTGTGCCCCTTGCAACATCTTCATGATTCTTCAAGTTCATCCTTATATTGTGGTGCAAAAAGATGTTCCAGGTTCATCTTATGTTTTCTCTGCCCCAACTTTGGAGTCTGCCATTTCTTCAAGGGGCCCTGCCTCGTTCCTTTTAGGGGAGAATGGTATTAAGAAACTCAGTTCTAGGGGCGGAGTGCCATCTGCTACTGATGTATCACTGCTTCTAGGCCCTTAGTGGACAAAGCTAGAGAATGGTGTGTGTGAGCACATATGCAATTTTTTCTATACATCTATATAGGTAGTCCCTGAGTCATCACCTAGTTATAATGAACTGCTCTTACAATATGTATGTATATATTAAAATATATCTGTAAATTTATTCATAGTGTTTCCAATCCTCAAAGAAAAAGAAAGATTCTATTTATAAAGATACTCATGATAAAAGGCAATAATAATGAAAGTTTAAAAAATAAAGTAAGAGGTATTCAACTTACGGAAGAACCGATTATGATGGAGTTGTTGGAAGGGAACTCTGGCATAAGTTTAAGATTATCTGTATATTTAAAATACAGAGTTTTAAAAAAATCCATAAAGGTAGGATTCTAAGTAGATACAAATGTGTGCGATTTTGAATATTATCATTCCATTTTCCTCTCAATTTTTAACAGGTGGCTAAACCCCTTGTTTAAAATTGGTCATAAACGGAGATTAGAAGAAGATGACATGTATTCAGTGCTTCCTGAAGATCGCTCAAAACATCTTGGAGAAGAGTTGCAAGGGTAAGCAAGAGGTAGCGAAGAGAAGGGTAAGGAAGAATGAGAATTTATGTGTGTAGCTAATGGCTTGGAATGGCTTTTGTCTTCCTGGTTCTCTTAGCTGTCCTTTAGGCCCTTCTGGAGACTGGTTCCCCTAGAATTCCACATTCCCTTTCCTTTGGGCTGTCCCCGGCATAGCCTACTTAGGTGACCTGAGAGAAACCTTTGCCCAGCAGCAGAGGCCCTGGATGCTCAGAATTTGTCCCAAGGGGGTGGTATCACTGGAGGAAGTTGTCTGTCTTGTTTGTACTACTCTCTGCCCTTTTGGGATACTCAGGTGCAAGAAATCACACAGAATTTTGCAATAACTTGTTTCCCAAGACTAGAGACCTCCCCTCAAGGCCTGTTTTTCTGGTGCTACAGATTCCATGTGGTGCACCTTTCAGGTACCCTGCGGACAACTAGTTTGCATGTATGGAGTAATCATAAAGTATCCTGTAATAAATGCTTGTCTCTCTTCCTGCTATATCCCCCTTTTACTGCATGCTGTTCTTTACTATGCTTTGTTTTTCATTGTAGGTACTGGGATAAAGAAGTTTTAAGAGCTGAGAAAGAGGCACGGAAGCCTTCTTTAACAAAAGCAATCATAAAGTGTTACTGGAAATCTTACTTAGTTTTGGGAATTTTTACATTAATTGAGGTAAATGCTTTTACATAGTGAATTGTTTTTTTTAGTTATACATGCATTAAAAATGCTAGTTAGAATTGGCATTAAAATACGTGGGGATTCTTGGTGAGAGAGGATGCCAGATAGGGGTTGAAAACATTTTAAGGATCTAGGATAAAACGTGTTTAGGAAGCATGATTGAATTCAGCAGTTGTGTTTCTCTTTAGAATGGATAAATATTTACAAGAGTTTAATGACCGAATCTCAGGGGGAGATTATTATTGTTTCTAACCAATTAAAATATAGTGTTGTAAAAGGATAGCACTGGAAATAAAAAGGACTTTATACTGTGTGAGGACATTGCTGATGCTCAGTAAATGTAAAAGCCAAGCGTAATCCTTGACCAAAAGGTCTAGAACGTTAAGGAATGAATATGTGCCTTGTGGTTTGGAGGAAGTAAATTTGGATCAGAGCCTAGAATAATATAGGACATTTTACAGGTACTCAACAAGTACTTGTTAAGTTGACCATGCCAAATCTGATAAATGCTTTCCCAAGAAGGTATTGTTACCTCTTCTTATCCAGAGATGTAGAACCTGGGGCACTGTGCCTGGGCTGGCTCTGGTATCCTACAGGGTGGAGCTGGCTGGAGCTCCCAAGAGCACACACTTCTTTGGGCTGTACCCTGCAATGCTGGGCTGGACACTAGTAGCTACACCCCTTTCTGTGGAGGAGGTCCTGGCTTCACCATGAATGCTAGTCATTTTCGGACTTCATACTCTACCCATTTTGGTTTCTTGTCTTTGATTGTTGAGGTGGCTTGCTGGTGGGAAGGTGGGCTCTTTATAGCTTGGTATTGCACAGTGTAGAAATGGACATGCAGTGGAAAACCAAAGATGGAAAGCCATTAGGTCATTTGCCTGTTTTAGCTTGAAGGGCTTCAATCATAGTCTTCCAGCAAGACAGTGTTCTTTCTGGGAGCACAGTGCCAGTTAGTGTACCAGTTTTAGTCATTGGCCTACTAGAGGGGATGCTGAAAATCCTCCTGAGTGGCTTGTACTCTTTGTACTCTTAGTACCGCATTGGTGGCCCTGGGAGTACATGACTGTAGTGGAGATAGAAGTTAAAAATTGCTACAAGACGTGAAATTTCAGTGAGTTGTCATAATGCATTTTGCTTGGTTGGATAGACCCATTGTTTTGTATGTGGGAGGTATAGTTCTCATTTAAAATGCTTTCTTTGTATGTGAGCCAGGACAAGAACAGATGTATGCACACCCATGCTCATTGTAGCACTATTTACAATAGCAAAAAGATGGAAACAACCTAGGTACCTATCAACAGTAGAATGGATAACCAAACTGTGGTGCATGCACACAATTGAATACTATGCAACTGTAAACAATAACATAGAATCTGCAAAACACTGCATAACGTGGATGAACTTGGAGGACATTATGCTGAGTGAAATAAGTCAATCATAGAAGGACAAATATTGTATTAGTCCATTATTGTAAAAAGTCAAGGGAAGGTTTATATATGGAAGGAAATTTTCTTTGTTGGTTACTGGGGCGGGGAGGGGAGGGGAGGGGACACTGTTAGATAGGTATAGACAAGTATTGATTTAAGTGAAGAGAAGGGCAGTGTACCAAATATGAATGATCAGCACAGTGGCACTGAGGAAGAGGAAGACATAGAGAGGTGCATGGGAGGTACAGACAACAAAAATGAACCCTTTTGCATATATAGTACTGCATTGTCTGTAAAGGCAAACATTGATCTATGGGTGGATAGATGGGTAGACAGGCTGAATTATTAGGTATGTCTGTGTAGGTGGGATTGTGCCTGTGACCATGTATAGGGTTGGAAGACAACGTTTCTACAAGTGTTTCTGTATGTTCTATAAGGATGTCCAGGTATATAGTAGAGCTGACAAAGGATAAGGTTGTAGTCACTTCAGGGCACAGCCAGCTACCTAGAGGGAGTAAGTAGTTGGACCTGTGGGCTCAGGACCATAGTCGCAGGGGACATCCATAACATACTACACAAAAACATTGTTCCACATCCTACTTTGGTGAGTAGCAACTGGGATCTTAAAAGCTTGCAAGTGGCCATCTAGATGCAGTGATGGGTCTCTCCTCATCCAGAACAAAGAAGAATGGAGAAAATCAAAGATGTGTGGAAACAATTAGTCCAAGTGACTGGTACACCAGGCAGTTCTCAGCCTATATGACTGTGAGACCAGAAAAACTAGATGGTGCCTGGCTACCACTGTCAACCACTTGGAGGGGGATCTATGTAGGAGATCTTAGACAGAATGTGAGAACAATGTGGAATAAAACTCAAAATCATTAAAAAAAAAAAGGACTAGTTTTGCTGGTCTGATAGAGCCAGATGGAACCACTGAGACTATGGCTCCTAGCTCTCCTTTAGGTCTGGAATTGAACTCAGTCCTGTGGCTGCCAGCCAAACAACAAACAGGCATATGAGCTGAACATTTACATTAGGTAGATACACTCCTTGGAGAGATCAATTGTGGGAGAATAGAAGGGCTGTGTATGCACAGGGAGACAGCTCAGGAGGCAGGAGTGCATGGGAGGGAAGGACACAGGGAAGAGGTAACTATAGGAAGGAGGTAAGAGGGGAGCTGTTGCATTGTGGGAAATTGCAGTCAATGTCATGAGACAAAGTGTATGTGAGCTGCTGTATGGAAAGTGAATTTGCTCTGTAAACTTTCACTTAAATCACAATTAAAAAAAAAATTTTTTTTTCTTTGTATTGTGGCCACTGAGATCAGTGGGTAGATAGGTAGATAGGTAAACTTTCCATAGCAAAAAGATGGAAACAACCTAGGTGTCCATCAACTGAGGAATGGATAACCAAACTATGTAACATACATACAATGGAATACTATGCAACCATAAACAATAACATAGGATCTGCAAAATTCACAAAAAACACTGCATAACTTGGAGGACATTATGCTGAGTATGAAACTAGAGAAAACCAATAGGCTCTGTTAGGTAATAGGCAAGTGGATAGTGTTGGGAGGTTGAAGTTCTCATTGATGACAGAAGGGTGCTGGTTAGTGTGCCAGAGAGGCATTCATGTCAGAATGTCACCTTTGCGAGGGTACCTACCATCACCTATATACGGCTGTGGGTTTGCTAAGTGGTACATTGGAGATAACAGCAAGTGGGATTGACTTTGGGAGAGGATGTAGGATTCCCTCAGGGTGTTCTACATGGTCACAGTGAGTCTCAGATTGAAATGAACACAGGAGCAAGGTGGTGTTATCGTAGCCTTTGTATGCAAGTTTTCTTGGCCATATGTGACTATTGGACCTCTTAGAGCAGAGCAACTTGTCAGGATTCTGCATGGCACCTTGTGTGCCAATAGTGCATGCGAGGTGTCCGGTTAGGTGTAGGCAGGAATGAGTGGCTTCAGAGTTTAATGTTGGATCATCTCCTAGAGCAGACCTCCCTCTGCTGCCTGTGGTTCTTTAGTTTGTCTGTGTATTCAGGGCCCTAACAAATTGAAAACAGATGATCTCAAAACGTGGTCCATCTGGCTGAGTTTGAACTGAGCTTCTGGATTTTTCTCACTGTCATGAGCTGTTGGCTCCTTGAGGTGGAGTCTCTAAGCCCCAGATAGTAATTAGATCCCATCTCAAATTGAGCTGCAGGTCTTGGCTGGGGTTCAGGGAAGGCCAGGATTGAAGTCAAACTAAATAAGGGTACATCTAGTAGACTATTATGGCTTCTTTTTCATTTGGTTTTTAAATGATAATGTGTTTCTGATGAAAGTTTACGCAGCAAATTAGGTTCCCATTTAACAGTTTTCTGTAATCTAGTTTCATTGCCCCCCTTACCGATTCATCTTTGCTTTAGAGTAAATGTTGATCCTTAGGTCTCATATACCAAAACCAAACCAAAGCAGACTCACTGCCATCAAGTCGATTCCAACTCCTAGCGACCCCTTGGTGTTTCTGAGGTGGTAAATCTTTATGGTAGTAGATTGCCCAGTCTTCCTTCTGGCTGGTGGGTTTAGAACCACCAGCTTTCTGGTTAGCAATCAAATGCCTTAGGCACTACGCCACCAGAGCGCTTTATGTTATTGTTGTTGTTATGTGCCTTCGAGTCAGACCTGATTCATAATGACCCCTCCTTGGGTTTCCGAGGCGGTATCACTGTGGAAGTAGATTGCCCAACCTTCCTTCTGAGGAGTGGCTGATGGGTTTGAACTGCCAGGTTTCTGGTTAGCAGTCAAGTGCCTTAGGCATTATGCTACCAGAGCTCCCTAGAGATGATTTTAAAGGAGCACAGTGCTCGTGGCTGATATTCTTTATTTTATGAGCCAATTTGTTATTTAGCTGAAGTGATCTCCAGGAGTAGTTTTGTTCAAAGTTTAAAGGGAATCTCAGAGCAGTAGTCTTGGGGGGAAGTCCTCTCGTCTCAGTTGGTCCAGCAAATCTGGACTTCTTAAGAATTTAAGGTGTGTTCCACATTTTTCTCCCATTCTATCAGGGTCTATCTATTGTGGCCCTGATTAGATCAGTAGGTAGTGGTAACTGTTTGTTCTGGTCTTGTTCTTGTGGGCTTCAGGTAGATCAGACTGTGGTTCATGTAGGTTATTAGTAGGCTGTTAATAGACTCTGAGTCTTTGGTTTCCTTTTTTCTCTTTTGCTCCTGATGAGCAGACTAATAGCTGTATCTGAGATGGCTGCTCACAAGCTTTTAAGACCCCAGCTGCTACTCACAGATTAGAGTGTGGAACTATAGAATTTACAAATTCTGTTATGCCAGTTGAATGAGTTGTCTCAGGAGTCTGTAGTCCTAAGCCTTTGAACCCATGAAACCACTCCCACGAAGTGTTTGGTTATGTCTAAGAAGTATCTGTAACTGTCCCCTATGTACTTTATTATACATATGAATGTATGTGCATATTCATACATATGTGTATAGCTATACCTACACATAGACATACACACACACACACACACATATGTTTATACACACACATATCTATTTACAT